GTCATCTTTCAAGTGTCAGCTCAAATGCCGCTTTTGATGATGCCTATCCTGACTCCCCAGACTAAACCAGACACCCCTAAACTTGTCTTTCATAGCATTTATCAGGGCTCATGATCACATTACGTGTGGGATTAGTCACTGATACCGACCTTTCCCAACAGACTGTAATTCCTAAAAGGGCAGGGGTCATCTTCGTGCTGCTCTCCATTCCATTCTGCATGTGCAGCCCAGTGTTCACTCCCTGTGCGGTACCCATGGTTGTAGGAGGGAGAATAGAGCATGAGGGAAAGGGGGGTTGCAATGCTGAGTGATGAAGCTGCAGGGATGCAGGATTTGAGGTGCCTTATGCCTTCTGTACCTCCTGCCAATTAGGAATTGCATTTTTCTGATAAATCCAGAACAGAAAAAATGAAGGATAAAACAAAAGGGAAAGTTATTTTTCTTATGGTGTGAAGTCTGGGGGTAGGCAATTCCGGGGTGAGAGGTGGGGGATCCATAGGGCCACCAGGGAATTAGGCTCCTTTTTTTTTGCTCTATTATCCTTGGCTCATGGTTTATGTCCTCAGGGATACCTTACAGTCCTGGATCTGGCTGGAATGTCAGCCACAACAACCGAGTTTCAGACCAGAATCTGGAGGTGGGAGGGAAGGGCAAGAAAGAGCATGCCCAGTAAGCAGTTGTCCCCTTTTAGGAAGTCTTTCTTGGGATCCCACTGACTTACATCCTATGTGTCACTGCTCACTTCAATGGTCTTAGCTTCAAGAAAGATGTTTTCTTAAATGCCAGGCAGTCTGCAATTTAATCAAAATCAGGACGCGTTATTAAGGGTGATGGGGGCTGCCGTTTGGGGATGACCTCTGTGGTGTAGTGCTCTATAGACTGGGGGTGGTAGGGAGACCAGTATGAGTTACTGGTATTTTGGGTGAGAGAATTTGACATTCTGAATTCAGGTGGCAGCAATGGGAATGAAAACAGTGTTTGAAATGAGATTTCACACATGGGCAAGAGGATCCTTGACAGCTCATCTTCCCACTGATTTGCTTCAGGAGAAGCCTACTGGTTTAATTTCACTTACTAGATATTCTTTTCATTGAACTCCAGGTTACTAAGAGTTAATCTCTCTGGTCAATGATAAAACAAACTAAGGCGGACTAATCTGTATTTCTAAACCTATGTAGGATGAACAATATATCTGAAGTAATGAAAATGTATCCTCAAAGGTACTTATTTCCCCCCAAAGCTCTACTTCCAAAGACAGAGGAATAGAGAGGGCATCGATTAATAAGTGCCAAACATAAATTTTTAAAAGAGTACACCATTCTTTGCTTATAAACACCCAAAATATATTTAAGGCTCCATGTCAGAAAATAACACTGAGGAAATCATGCCTTTATCTCCATGCCACAAACCATCTGCCCTGCCTCTAGGTATTTCAAAATTCTTTTCAACTAGCATTTTTTCTGTCTCCTCATACCATTCTTATAAAAAGATAACTTGAGATGTTTTGAACACATGGACTCTAAGGAAATTGGGATGCTAGAAATTTAACCATAAAGACAAGGCAAACTACTCCCAGATTTTTAGATTACTTGTCTTATGGTGACGGAACCATAAGTGTCTGGTGAAGCTCAGTCCTTCATCTGTCAACACTCTGGGGAGCATCACAGCATCACCTGTAGCCATAATCAGGGGTCTTTCAAATCCTTAAAATACCTGAACAAAAAGCACTGGTGGACAATGTTAATGAGGCATAAACTGTGTAACTTTTTACAGATATGTGGCCATTTTAAGAAAGAACTGATGGTGTTGATTGGATGATCCAGCAGTTTTTTTAGTTCTTAAATGCTATGGGTCTAAAAGAAGGAAAATAGGAGTAAAAAGAGAAGGCTTGTGGGTGATGATTGCAATGTGCCCCCTGGCTCATTTGTAGGAAAATCCAGTTGGGATGTAAACATCCAGAGGCCACAATTTCTGGACTGAGGTTTTTCAAGATAGTAATGCGACCTCACCGCAGGATTAAAGATCAGATACCAAGGTTTCCCTGTAAGGTCACCGGCGACCCACAGCAGCATCTGACTTCTCGCAGGTGACTCGTTTCCGGCCCCCTTTCTGCTTGGCCTCGAGGTGGCAGTTTAGCCATGTGGCTGAAATTTAAGCACAAGGGAGGGAAGGAAAGACAATAAAACTGGTTAATTGTTTCAGAGACATAAGATAAGCCAGCCTTCATATTTCCACACAGAAATTAAGGTGAATCAGGAAATGGATGGCATTTTTCAAGTCACATGAATCAGCACCCCAAAATTCATCATTTTCACCAAGCATTTGGCTGGTTTTCTCACACTTTTACATTATACACATGGCTCGCCTAAAACAGTTTAGGGACAGCTATCATTTAACTTTGAAGAGCTCTACCCAGTTTTGTTTTGAAATTATCACCCCCAGTTTTCCAGTGCGATGAGAAGCAGCTTAGTGCAGGAAGTTCAGTAAGCAAAGACTTTTGAGGAAAAAAAACCCCAGAAATTTCATTTGGGAAAAGGAAACACCTGCAGATTCTCTAAAATAATTTTATTGGTTGAGGAGACAGCCTACTTCTGTGCTGGGGCCTGGGTATTTCATTTACATCACCTCCAATATCCTTAAGTGCTTACAAAGAACACACCTGCCAGCAGGTTTGTTTAACCTCCAGATAAAGAGTCCAGCTCAGAAAAGTTAAGGAACTTTCCCCCAGGTCACAAGGCAAAATCATGACCTCAGTTTAGGTCCACTTCACTTCAAACTATGGATGCCCTCCAAATTATTACTTGGTTCCTTCTTTCCACCATTCTTATTATCAACTTGTTTATGATTCACTATCACTGAATATACCTATGTTAGCAACGCTTTGCTGTATCCTTGTAAACTGCCTGTACAACGGACCCTCCTCCATCACACACAAAGTTACATACTTTACTGAGTTAAACTTCAGGTCATTAGCTTTCCTGGTCTGGTGTAGAAAGCCATTTCTTCCCTATTGCTTAGCTCTTGGTATGCCAAGATTTTTTTTTTAAGTGCACATGCCTTTACTGTATCATCGAGGAGCAACGACAAGGATTAGATAAACACTTTTGCGTCCTAATTTCTGTCTCCTTTTTCCCTGACGGCTGGCGCTTCCGCAGTTCTGCCCACCCACCCACAGACTGCCAGGTCTGGTTTAAGGCAGCGTCCTCTCTCCCCTCTTCACCCTCCCCAGGAGCAGAGCAGCCAGACCAGACCCAGACCCAGACTCAGACCTAGACCCAGACCCAGACCAGCCGCCTCCCCCCAGGCAGCCAGTGCTCCTGGGCCTCCGTGACACGTAGGCAGGGGCATCGGAATGTCAGGAATGGAGCTACTGCCCCTCACATGCCAAGCACAGACGTGAGAAATGTTAAGTTTCTCATTAAGGCCGGTAGAGCCCGGCAGCTGCCCAGCACCAGGCCAAGGGCCCTCAGCACAAGCCAGGGACGGCCGTGCCTTCAAAGAGGCCCACCCAGCTCGGGCCATTTCCTCCCGGATGTCTTAAAGGAAATCCGAGTGAGGCCTTGAGCAGCAGCCGCTCCTTCACTAGTGCCGGAGAGAAATGGGACTTTGGCCTGGGCTAAGCTTCCGTGGAAACCTTCAGAATTCCTTTCATTTCATTCTTTCATGAAAAAATATTTCTAGAAAATAAAGACAAATCGATGTCAATCTGTATTTCTATCGTCTTTTTCTCGAATGTGTGTGGCTGCTGTGTGAGCCACGACACGTTCCGGCCTGTGACCGGTTGTCTTACAGATTAGTCCGACAGCACGGCTAGGGCACGGGGTCACTCCCGGGCTGGGGACGCCCGAGAATCCACCGCCGGTGCTCGTGTGAACGTGGGCCCCGGGGCATTTATGTCACTGCGGAAAGAGGGCAGCGGTGGGGATGTTTATGCATTTCCCTGTGGAAGGGAAAGTCTAAGGCAACCCTCTGAGGCTGAGATGGAGAAAAAAGGGCCCAGAGAGACTGTTCCCCCCCACCCCCATCCGGAAAGAAATGGGTCACGCGGCCCTTCGGCTTTCCAAACCGAAGTTTAGCAACAAAGTACCAAATTCTAGGCGTCCCAAAAGGTACTTGCTTTCCAACTGGTAACCTTTCCCCCTGGGCACTTGCTCCGTAGAGCCGACAAATCCGGCAAGGGTGCAACAAGTCACATGTGGTCCCCAGTTGGCCGGGCTGACTCTGTCTCTCTGGGGGTTCTGCTCAGCGGGACCACCTGGGGACCTGCCTCCCCGGTTGGTCAGACTTGTTCATTTCCATAGTTTGACTCCGCCGAAACCGACCCGAAGTAGACAGGAGGGCACCCCCACGTCGCTCTCCCAGAACCCGCAGTAACTTTTTCGGTCTTTAAGAAGTTTCCAGCTCCGAGCACGCTTGAGAATGTCACACAAAAAGAAAGAAATCACCAGTCGGGGTCCGGACCACCCAAACTGAGAATTGATGAGCGACCCCTGCCCACTCCCACCACACCAACGGATTTGGCTGGGGGACGGCACGTACCTGGAGCTGCGGCCGGCCGAGTGGGCGCGCCACGTCGCGGGTCTCGGCCCGGGCCGCCTCCGGCCCTTTATACCGCGGCCCTCCCCCACCGCAAGGCTGCCACGTCTGAGCGGCCGGACCCGGGGAGGGGAGCCACAGATGGTCTCTGCTTGGCGGGGGAAGGGAGTCCCCGAGAGCCTGTACTCGGGCGCACTCGCACGGGGACGCAGGAGCGGGGATCGCGGGGGGGCAGGAGGAGACCGGGACGCGGAGGGGGTCCCGTCCCGAGAAGGGGCGGTGCCGGGGGTGGGGCCCGGGGAGGTCCGGCGTCGGGTGGGGCGCTCGGGTTTCACCCGGGCTGGGAGGGGTTTGAAAGGCGCGGCGGCAGGGGCGGGGCGGGCCGGGCCGGGGGCGGGGCCCCGCGGCTCCGCGCCCCGCGCTCTCCGCTCGCGCGCCCCGTGCCTCTCTACTTGCCGGGAAGGCGGCGCCGGCGGCGGCTGCTCGTGCTGCACCCGCTCCCGCTCGCTGTCTTCCAGTCGCGGGTGGGCTCCGCAGCCCCTGGCCCGCAGCAGCCCCTGCCCCGCTGCGGCGCCCACCCTCCACCTCCCCTCCGCGGGGGGCCGACGCGTGCAGCCCACCCCAGGGCCTCTCTTCTCCCACCCGCGGCTCCTCTGTGGAGCTGGCTCGGGCTCTCAACTTCGCCTCCTCTTCGGTCTGCTCTGCTGGGCGCGAACCTGCTCACCCCCTGCCCAACCGCGCGCCCGGGGACGGTGCGCCTGGCGCTCGAGCCGGCGCCCCCAGCCCGGGGCGCAGCGCGTGGCGGGTGGCTCTGGAGAAGTGGCAGGGGGCGGCTGCGGCTGCTGCCTCGACTTACTCAGCTGGGAGCAGAAGAGGACCCTCAGAGGCGCTTGGGGGCCCCAGCCGCTGGATGACTGGCACGAGTAGCGCGCCTCGCACCTGGTGAGTGATCCCCGCACCATCCCTTTGTGGCCGTGGCCACAGCGCTGACCGTGCGGCGCAGCAGCTCGGGACGGGGGTGGGGGGGTGCAGCAGTGGGCAGCGGGTGGGTCGTGTCGATCGCGGGCAGGGTCGATATGCAGGCACCGGCCGGGGACAGTTCCAGTGGTTGCGCGTACAGCATTGGGACTACCATCAGTGCGGAGGCGCGCACAGTTGAGCTAGTGCACTGACTGGAAGTTTGTGTCCCTGCCTTTGCCGAGGTCTGAGCGTGCAGAGGTAAGGAGAGGAAGCGACCCGGTTGGCGACCGGGCGCTGAGCTAGACCAGACCCCTCCCCAACACCTCCGGAAGGTGCGCAGTGGAGGTCTGTGCTCGCGCCCCGCATGCGTCCAACCTCGCTTCTGGAGCGAAGGGCAGGAGTAGGGGCTTCGCAGCCCCGCTGGCTGGGGCAGTTCTACTGTTCGAGTTACGGGGCTTTGCAGCGCGTATGAGAATCCGGGACTTGGGCTCAACTCCACCAGGCGCTTTGGTTAATGAGCGAGACAGGCTGGCGGCGCCCCGAAAGTGGCGGCCAGGGATTCTGAGGTCTGGGCTGTTGGATGGGCTGCAGCCAGGCGAGTACCTTTCCGTAGGCGTTTCTCCACCGCTTCGCGAATTTCGCTCCCCTGGCCTAGGGTTTCGGGGCCGGAGGTAGATCTTGGTCCCGGAGGGGATTGGCCCCCTGGAGTCGTGCGGGACAACGGCCGCCGAGGGGTGATCTTCCCGAGATCGCTCCCCGAGCCGCCCAGTGCCCGGCCTAGCGCAGTCTGATCGTGATTCCCGGGGCTTTGGCGGGAAGCGCGTTCACCTCCTCGCCTTTTCCTCGTCGTGTACCTGGATGCGGCTGCTCAAGAGTTGAGATTTAACTTTCCTGCGCCTGCGGCGTTCCGAGGATCCCCGGCAGGGGGCGCTGAGAGCGAGCGCTGGGAGACAGGATGCTCGCAGCAGTTCTGTGCGGGGTGAGTGGGCGGAGGTCCTCCTCAGCGAGCAGAAGGACCAGGCCGATCTCGAAATGATTTCGTAGGGAGGAAAGTGCGGGAGCTGATCTGTTGACGAGAGGGAGCTGTCGGCTTGCTAGAAGAAGGGACAGGAAAGGTGGTTACCAAACACAAGTGCTCTATATTAGAAGGGTTCCTTCCAGAGACAATGCCTGCAAACCCTGTCTATGCATGCGTTTCCCACCTTGTAATTATTTACTCAAAAACAAATCGAAATTGAGTGAAGATAATGTGAATTATGCTTAATGCTGACATAAAGTTCTGCTCCTCAGGAGCACATTAGTTACGACGCCAGGGTTACACATGATTGTTGCATCTTGTTTTTAACGAAAACAATCGTATTTCGCATCTTACCAAGAAGAGCTGTTTTCCTAATGGGAGAGTTTGGAAACAGCAGGTATATTAATTATAGAGTTAGGTCTTTCCTTAGGAGACACAGGAAGAGAAGATTTTTAACACCTAAGTAGTATTGCTAAATTAACTGCTACTTAATGCTAGTTTCATTATTGAAGAGAGGTTAAAGTCTATTGGGTGCTCTTTTGTGTGACTATTTCACAATTTCTGTTCAAGCAGAAAATACCTTAAGTTGTGCATCAGTTAGGTCACTTTTCCTGTCTGTGCCTGTGTTTGCACCAAAGGACACATGGAGTTTTTACCCCCAGAGATGTTTTACCATGTTTGTTTCAAATGCAAAAGCAGTCTGAAATGTGACTGTTTGGACTACTTGAAGCACATATTTCCTTTTCCCTGACTTTCCTTCTTGTAGAAACTTTGCCATGAGATAGCAGCTCAGAGCTTGTGCACCCTCACTTATGGTTTGCGTACTCATGGAACTGTGGGGTGATGAACTGGAATCTGCTTTTACAAGCTTTCAGCCTATACTTTTCTTAACAGGGAGAAGATGGATGATGCTAGCCATTTTATGCCTTTTACGAATTGCACTAACTTATTCGGTTGTTTAAATGGCAAACAGCTGTGAGATCCCTGCTGAGAGCAAAGTCTTTGGTCTCTTGGGTGGTAAAGCTTGTCTCTGTCCAAGAGAAATTTTGGAGATGTTCAGATTTTGGTAAAAATAAACCTGTGTTCTTCACTGCCTTTCCCTTTAAAAATTACTTCTTCATGTCTGGATAGAATGAAAAAGAAACATAAGTGCAGGGGCTTATACAAGTCGTGGGCTATGGGACTGTAATGGATGTATGCACATTCACAGAAACTTTTGCTTATATTTTAGAGGGTTCATAGACCTTCTGAAGCCCGATCCATGAAGCTTTGCAGTAAGAAATCTTGCTTCAGGGTTACTTTAGACTCTTGATCAGAGACAAATGTTCAAACCAACTAACTTTTCTCTGTGTGTGTGCTGAATGCTCAAACTAACAGATGTCAGCTCTTTGGGACTGTGTCACATGTTCTTGATGTTTGAGAGAGGTGCTTAACCAAACAATTACATAGATTCTATGAACTTGGGTTGACTTTTAATGATTCCAAATGTCTTTTTTTATTATAAAGTCATTGAAATTGAGGCTTTACTTCTGGTACATGTAAAGGAAAGTGAGGGAGGAGAAACAGATGCCCCTCACTAAATATCCAGCCAAAGATATAAAGGCATTCTATTATATAAACAAGTAATCATGATCTTTAGAGCGAACTAAGATTAGAAACTAATCCCCAAGAAGAGGTTTGCATTACAAATCATATTGTGTGCAAGGTAGAACAAATTACTGCAAGTCAAGGATTCCACTTCTGTAGTAGTGTATGTACAAGTATTTGAGAAGTGTCCCTCACATCCAGCAGCAAATCTCCATTATTCTTGATTCTAAAATTATAACAAATCTCTATTTAAAAATGCCTCTGAAACTGTTGCTATAGTTACTCAGGAAAATTGCTTAGGGTATAATTATAACACCAAGGTGACAAATTTTTATGTTTAGTGTTAAGTAATTTTTCTAATGTAAATTACAGTATCTAACAAATTGAGTTACACCAAAGTACAAAGTGTGTAATGTGGAAGTGCATACATTTCTGCCCACCTGCATCTATTTACAGATTTATACAGAGAAAGTAAGCTATGAAGTCCTAAGATGAATATATATGCATTTTAAGTTTTTAATACTGTCGTTGTGTACTGTTGTTGACAACACAGACATGTTTCACATGTTTCCAGCAACGTTTTAGAGTTGCGACGCTGAAGTTGTGTTGAAAATGACTTTTTTTTTATTGTTGCTTGCTGCCTTGTAGAAATGATCTGCCATAGATAGGGGGCAATCTGCTGTCTCTAATTCCTGTACAAGATGGCAGCATCATAAAGATAAATCCAACAGGGGGAATCAGTTTGAAGAAGCAGCTTTTGGTATGCTAGATAAATACATCAATTATTTTGTTGATGAATCTGTCAGATATTGGTTGTCCAGATATGTAAAGTCTATTTCTAATAGCAAGAAAATAAGAAAAAAATTAAAGTAAGAATATAGATAGCATAGATAAACTTTTCACTTTCAGTGCATCTACCCTGAACTTGCTTTGATTCAGAATTTAAGACAAACACAGAACAAAGCAAATGAGAACTTGATCCAAGAGAAGGTAGTATATAAAAATTCATTATAATATACTGTATTGGCACAATTAATCTTTGCCATCTCAAGGTTCTAGAGCTAAGGAAACCTGGCTCTGAATTTCACAGAGTATTTTGAAGCCTGGCAACTTCAAAGACAAGTTATATTTCACTTGGGGCATGACATTTAAAATAATATTAACCCAACAGGGGGCTCAAGAAAACAGAAAATATTTTCAAAGGAACTGTTCTTGTTTTTTTTCACTTTCTTTTCCTTCTTTTTTTTTCAAGATTAATGTTTGGCAAGAGTGAAGATGAGCACCCTTTATTTTCCTTTCCCAAGTTTTAAAATGTGTTGGCATAGTACTGTGGCATTTGGAAAAAATAGTCATTCCAGTTTTACTCTTTTACTCCCACATATACTAGAATTGATTCCTTGATTAATACTGAAGAACACTATAGTTTAAAAGAATAAGTTTTTTAGGGGGTATTTTTTTTTTAAATTTCTGGAAGGCCTTGAACCCACTAATCTTATATTCATTGTCTCTGTATCTCTGTGGCATGGCTAGCCTAGGGTTCACATAGAATGAGGAGGAAGTATATATTGGAACAATTTAGGTTGCATTTTTATGTACATTTGAGAGTAGATCACATTACTGCAATAGGTAATTCAATTATAGATATGTATGATAAATAACCAGGGAAGTGATGCTGTCAGAAACCAACTGTAGTGGAGAAGTAATACCGTGTTTGTTGAGATGTGGAATTAAATACATCTTAAGTAAGTGATTATCAGGCTGGAGCAAGGACGAATTGTTCACAGGAAATAGAGACTTTTTCAATCAGTTCAGATTCACCCAGCATTTGATAACAACATATGATGTGCCTATGCAAAGAAAAGCAGAATCAAAAGGAAGTAGTAAGAAGCATTCTGCTAAGCTGTTCCCCATGAGGTGTCTGAAACGTCATAAAATGGCTAGTGCTTGGCTAAAACTGCCCAGAAGAGATGAGTTCCTCCCAAACTGACTGCAAATAAAATTCCACACAAAGAGCTTCCCTTTCTGTAAAAAAACTGGAGGTGTGTCATAGCTGGAGAGGACTTCCAAAGCAGTGCTCAGCCAGCCATGGTGGAGGCAGCTACCCCACTACCAGGACCACTCAGCATGTTGTTGTGTGCAAGGAGTCTGCATAAGGGGACAGGGACACTTAGGGTTGGACATCCTGCAGCCAGATGGATTTTAGAATTGCAACTGGGTTCTGTGATTCCTTTTACAGGATTGAGATTTAGATATGTCGTAAAATTTTACTGATAGGAAAGCTGAGAACATTGTTTGTAACTGGTGCAAAGCAAAGTAATTGCCCTGGATGTTAAACTTGCTTTGACCAGCAACTATTGTAATTAAGCCATTGTTTATG